TACTATACTATACTATACTATACTATACTATACTATACTATACTATAATAGACTGTACTGCAACTGTACCTGACAACGTGTAGAATATGGTGCCATTCTCCCCTTCATCAGGATCTTTGGCTTGTAATGTACCCAGCACAACTCCTGGAGCTTGACCTTCTGTCACCTATGGGTAACAAAAAAATAAATACCAAATCAGGAAACGGATAATAATTGTTATTTCCAAACAATCTATGTTTCTGCTCCTGTGACATCACCTGTATAACAATGCCTTTTCCTGACTGGCTGTGGCTAAAAAACGGGTCGTTGTCGTTGTCATCCAGTACAGTGATGAAGACCGTGCCCGTTGCAGTACGAGGAGGTGAACCGCCATCTTGTACCACAACCACCAGCTGATAGCTTGACTGCTGTTCTCTGTCAAGAGTCATCCTTGTGCTGATTTCACCTGGGGAGGAAGGATGGAGTATGAGAGGGAGTTTATGCAGGCACTTGTCCCCTGGAATAGTGATGAGGAACTTAGATACCAGCAGGCTTTGATCAGTGAGACATAAGTAACAGACATGCTCAGTGTTCAGATTCATGCATTGATATGCATGCACACTCGTATACATAAATAGATGAATTTTAGAGGGTTGGCAGACACCGTCGAGACAAACAACTCAGCCAGTCCACACACTAACAGGCTCAGCAGGCCAATTAGAGCCCAGCGTGACAATTGGTGCTGCTGTCACCATGTTCTGCCTTATTTATGACAGTAGAGACGGGGGAACTTTTAGTCTAGTCTGTCATCTTTAAAAGATGAGTTAGGGGGTTGACTAAACAGTTTTTTTTTCTTTTTCCCATCGAGAAGTTGCTTGAATCTTCATGAAGCAGAAAATGTTTTATTGGAAAACTGCAGCTGAATCTTATAATCTCTCGTTTCAGATTTTTGCTCATGTAAAACAAAGAAGTTCCCCGACCAATGTCGGAAAAATACTAAGAGCTATTCATTATTATGATGAATGAATATTTAAGACTTCAAAAAAAGAGCATTTCCTTTAGGTGTAACCATCATTCTGCTTGAAATATCTAAACCACCATTGTTACGTATTCAAATTTTACAGCATTAAATATTCTTTTTTGTTTTAACAACCGAAGATCACAAGTGTCAGTACTTAAAATTTCCACCTCACCTGTCTGTGTGTTGATCTGGAAGTGGCGGTCGGGATGCAGGAAGCGGAAGCTGAGGCGTCCATTGGAGCCACTGTCTCTGTCTGTTGCAAGCATGTGACCAAAGCCCGTTCCTGCAGGCAGGTTCTCTTTCACGGCCATAAAAACCCTCTCCTGTGTGACCCGGGGAGAATTGTCGTTCTCATCGGTCACCGATATCCGCACCGTGGCGCTGCCTGTCTTCTTCAGCTGCCCGTGGCCTACGCTGGCCATCACCGTCAGGAGATACATGTCCTTCACTTCCCTGTCCAGGGCACTCTTCACAAACAGCCAGCCACTATCGCCAGCAATGCCAAAGCCAGCAGCATCTCCATCAGGACGCAGGTGATACGTCAGCTGTCCAGACTGACCTGAGCCAGGAATCTCTCTTCTCAAAGCCCTAACTTGGAGGAAGCGTGTGTTGATTGGTGTTCCCTCTTTTAGCTCCACACGATAGGTGAGGGTATCGAACACAGGTCCCTGACCATTCTCTGCTTGGACGTGGACCACAAGCATGAGTGTGGCGCTTAGCTGGGGTGCTCCACTATCCTTAGCTACCACCTGGAGATCATACCGAGGGCTAGTGTCATAGCACAGGCTTCCTATCAATCGGATCTCTCCACTGCTGCGCTCTATGCTGAAGATCCTCTGGAATCCACTTGGAGAGAAAAGTTCAAAGCTGAGTTGTCCATTGACTCCTGTGTCTTTGTCCTCAGCTTGGACTCGATACACCACTGTGCCCATTTCTGTATGCTCTGGCAGCAGTAAGGACTCTGAGGACGAGGGCAGAAAAACCGGTGGGTTGTCATTGACGTCTGCAATGATGACGTGAACACGGGTCTGTCCGAAGGCTGGGGGGTTGCCACTGTGGGCCTGCACCTCCAGCTCAACAGATGACTGGGATTCATGATCCAGGGGCAGACTGGTTCTTAGGACTCCAGTATCAGGATCCACTGTAAAGAGGCCTGCAGGGTCACCGGAGCTGATGGTGTAAGAGATATGTGTCGAGGCTCCTGAGAGGAGATAGGGACAAAAATACATTTTATGAACAAAATCAACAAATAAATAAATATGACTTGCGGCCGAGGAGAATTTTTATTTCATTTTCATATTTAGGCACGTAGCCTTAAATCAGTATGCACCAGTTTCCCAGATCAAAATATTTTTTTTGTATAACAGAAGGAGTAAGTGATACATAAAAGAAGATGGTCCTCACCTGTTTTACTGCTGGCTTGGACCATGCCAACAACTGTTCCACGCAGGGCATCTTCTGATGCGGTGAAGTAATACCGAGCCTTTTCAAATACAGGTGGTGCCACCAGCCCTGCCACCACGCTAATGTTAACTTTGGCATTAACCAAGGCGAACAGACCACCCCCATCTTGAGCAGAGATTGTCATGGGAATGACAGAGTTGGCTTTCCCATAAACTGACCGAGACAAGGAGATGACACCTGAAAACATTCAAAAGGACATGAAACATACAATTTATTTGCAGAAACATTAAAAATGTCTGATTTATAATCACAATAAACACACCAAAAAGTATATCAGAACAAGTAAAACTTCTGTGCTGACCTGTGTCTTTGTTGAGGGTAAAGTAGGGAGAAGCCCCTCCAGGTACCGTTTTGTATGTAATTCTGCCGTTCTCGCCAGAGTCCGGGTCATAGGCCATCACTCTGACAACGGATGTCCCAGGAGCACTCTGCGTGCTCAAACTAATGGCATAGTTGAGTGGGTAGAAAGAGGGTCTGTTGTCATTAATGTCGACCAGGTCCACCTTCACATAGGCTACTGAGCTCAGTCCACCCTGCAAAGGAAAGAAAAACTATTTTGTTATACCTCCACATACGTTAAATCATGAACCGAAGAAAGCTCTGAAAGCAGCTTATAGGCCACTTTATTGGTGCACATACACCGTAGTAATGGTCTAAGTAAAAACCAGCAGTAAACTCCCTTCAATTTCTATAGATGGCATAGCCTCTAAAATATTGCCTCAGCAGGTTTGTGCATGAACACAGATTGATAGTTTCCACTGGGAAAGAGCAACATGTCATGACCCCGGCAGGGGAAGAGGGCTCGTGGCGACCTAAGTCTGTTTCATAGGTTTTTCATTTGCTAAGAACACAGTGTAGGCTTTTCATTTGGACCAGGTGGCAAAAAAGAAGGTAGGCGGCAGTCCAACTTGTTAAAATATTATGGCCTGACAGTTAAGGTATTTCTCAATCTGATTACTTTAACATACCCAAAGTAATTTTCTTTCATTTTTAACCTTTTATTCTTTAAGTATTTTTGGCAGTCATCGAACAGGATGGTTGAGTAAGTCCACCTACCATGGAGAGCTATTCAAACTTTTGTTTTTTGTTTTTTTTTGTACTTGGCTCTTCACAGTTGGCTCTGTCTTTGCTCTCTTGTCAGAGGGGAAAAGCATAGCTGGTGTGTTTATAGGATTACATTGTGGCTCAATGGATTAATATAGAGTACGATTTAAAAAAAGGTCCACTTACCCCGTCCAGTGCAGTAACGGTAAAGTCGAAACTGTCTGGCCCTTGATCCCGGTCTAGTACAGCGCTAGTGCAGATCTGCCCGGTCTCTTTGCCAATAGTGAACTGAGAAGGAACAGCGCTGTTACTGCCAGACCCCAGGGAGTACGTAATGGAGCCAAAGGAACCACCGTCAGCATCTGTTGCAGTCACCTACAGACATAAAGACAAGATATTAAGTAAACATTCCAAAATTACACGTTCGAGAGGAAATTTTGTACATTGGATGAAAAAACAAACAAGTTTCTATGCTTCATAAATCTCTAAATCGGCAAAAAATCAAATCAATCTTCCAAAAGAGGGACATGAGAGTGATGGCCCGCCACAAACTGATACAGGAGCATCGTACCAGGAAAGCATCTTTGGTGCAGCTCTTTGTTGTTTTTCTGAGCAAGAACATGAGCCAAACAGGTCCTTTGGCAGAGACAAACCCTGAGGGAAAGACGGGGGCAGGCAGGATGGAGGTGGACTTCTACGGGCTCTGGGAGGGAAGCCAACAGGATATACTGCCTGCTTCCGAGTTGGGTCTGTTTAATCAGGACAGTGACAGGAGCAGTTGGGCAGGAGTGGGATGCCACACAAATTTTTTTAGTGCAGCACCTACGATTTCCAATGTGAAGTTCTGACTGGGGTCTGGTTTTAATAACGAGAGATAGAAACACTGAAGCCACGAAGGCAAAACACAGGCCATCAGCCAAGGGGCCGACTTAATTACTATAGGATCTCCCAAGACAGCACAAGGCAAACAGACCAATCACACTGGGCCCCTGGGTATGAGCAGTGTAATTGCTAGCAAGTGTTGGCCCAAGATTGTAGATTAAAGAAAGGTTAAACCACACAAGTTGATTAGAATTCTCCTTCCTTCCGTATTTTAGAAAAGGATACTTTTAACAAAACACTTATTAGAAAATAACGCTACACCATCCAGGGGCAGAGAGACTCCTACGCATAAGAAGACACAGCCATGGGGACCGTTGCCAAGAAAAATTAGGAAAGCCATGGTTAATATCAAATGTCAACTTTTTTTTTCAAAGATGGCAGTGGCATGACTGTGAGCAGTTGGAAATCATTCATTCGGGGGGATGAGTTTGGCTGCTTAACGCAGCCTCCGTCTCTTTCCTTAGCAGATGGCAGACGGAGGACCCAGCAGAGAGCAAGGCCCACACGCCTGACTGTAACTCCTAACAGAGGGTGAGTGGTGGATGTGAGCGAGAGAGAGAGAGAGAGAGAGAGAGAATGAGAGAGAGAGACTTGTAAAACTGGCAGACACGTGAGCCAAATAGAAGAATAATAAACCGCACAGGGAAAAGGAAAACCAAGAGTAATGTTAGAAAGTTACTCCATTTTTTCATGCGTAGAGGCAGCAGATCATTGAAACTTTTATTACTTTTTTGGGGTTATTTGTGTTTGTGCTCGCGAGTGTTTTGGTGGTAATTTGTAGCATGCCCACGGCTTTATACGTTAATTATATTCACATTTGTAAGATGAGTGTCAGCTGGAGGGAAATGAATGCGATCATTTTAGCATGAATACCTTAATCTTGCATAAATATTCCATCTGTCAGATATGCAACAAATATCTCCAAAAATATCAGCAGAAAAATATGTCTTCCTTTTGTGTGGCTGACTAAATCAATCAAGGCACTGAATTGCGGAGAAATTTGAGGGGATTCCATCATGTGCTAGTTCAGCCACAATCATTCATAAGGAAATCTTTTTTTTCACATAGTCTGTCTTAGAAATGTGACAAACTGCTGGTGTGAAATCTTGTTCAGAGAAGAGAAAAGATGACACAAACGATGACTGGGAGGTTGAACGTGGCTGTTGGTGGTTTGGGAGCTGGAGCTTGTTCTCTCCATTCTGTTCAGATCACACACTTCACATTTAATTCAGGATGCTCTTTGAGTTTAGAAAGTGCCAACTGGAGCAAAGTGTTCAGGCACAGTGTGTGCTTCAGAAATACCGACTGTGCTCTATTGAGAACAAGCTGAGTAGAAACAGTGGACAGAGTAATGAACCAAAGTTACAAGAAGGTTGATCTGACACTACTGGGCACAAAGTCCATCCGTCCATTTGGACGTCTTCATTCCGCTCAGAGATGTACGATAAAAACAACTGTGCACAAAGTAGTTGGGGGTTTTCAGAGCCATGTGTGTTGTGAGTGCCTGTAAGTAATATACTCCTTAAAATAAGTGTGGCACACCACGATAATGACACACAAAGTCGCATTTGCATAAACCACAGCAGACTACCTAAAGCCATACTGAAACTTCAGTTATCATATTTGTAGGTTAATAGCAGCATATCAGTGTCATCTTGCTGTAATGACCAGGAGTTGTCTATCCAGGGGATTATTAATTGCCAATATTCCATATGAAATGACACAGGAGGATATTTGTAAATTACAAATGGTCTTAAACTACAAACCATGAACCCAAAAAATGAGGACAATCTTACAAAATACGCCTCTGGCATCACACACTTCTGCAATATAAATCTTATAAGAAGCTGAGAGTGTCTCAATGACAGACTCAGTTCCCAGAGAATGAAAAAGGATTTTCAACTTTTTTTTATATGAAGTGGAAAACTGATGCTTCCTTGGGATGCTGCAAAGTATTCCACTTCACTGATTAAGTTACAGAAAGGGGGCATCTGTAAGTTACTTCAAAGTGTTGATGTTACACTTACACATTTGCATATTTTCCCTTTCAAATAATCTATGCTTAGGATGCATTCTGTTTTGTATCAATAAATGCAATCACTTTCAGAAAGTATGCAAAGGTTGTACTCACATATGCACTCTGTACATTAAAAAATAAAGGAAAGAAGATGGTACTGGAAGCAATGCTAAATACACTTTAAAAATGTCTTCTCCTACCACCAATCGCACCCCACTCCATCATCCCAAAACATTATTCATTTTATCATGGCGCTGATATGAAGACCATCTGTTTAAATTTCCAAATCACTTTTTACTAAATCCTCAAACTGGAATGCAAATTCTTTTTTTTCACTAGATTATAGTTTCTCAAAGCACGGGTGTCTAGGATCATCTGCACCAGGTTCCCTTCACTCTATGTGTGTGAGTGAGGCATGATGGGAACTGTGTTATCTAGAAGGGAAAGGCAAAGTTTGGCTCAGTGCTTCGATAAACATGCTTGGGAAACCCAAAGATAATTGGGGCACTTTGTGGTTCTACCATCAAATTTTAAGAGTCTTCAAGAGGAGACTTTCTTACTGACAATCCATTGCAGGACAGAAGACTTAGGAGAGGACATGCCTCTGTGTGTTTATGGTTAATATGTCCAAATCAAAGGAAGATCCAAAGGCTTCTCGGCACTCGTAAGGTTTTGGCCAATTTGGTGTCTTAACTTTGTGGCCATAGAAAAGAGCCAGCGCTAGAAAAAACAAGGAAAGAATTTGGATGGTTTCTATATTTAGATTTCAGTTTCCCAAAAGGCCAATTAGGTTCACTGCATATGAATGACCACTGTGGTTTTCTAGTTTTTTTCCACGAATTTCTGATGATAATGCAAGCATCCTCATGCCAGTAAGACCTTATTTGCTTTCAGCTACTGCTCCTTGTTTCACCTTGAATGTGCAGCCAGGCAAAGACGGGAAAAAAACACAATGAAGTAGAGCAGAAAAACTATGAGCAAATGAATGATGCAAATGTTTAACCACTGAGGCCATAAGAGGTGAAATGAAGGGGATGCAGTTTTTAATCATGTTCTCCCTATTTTAGGTTGCCCAGTCAAACAAGTCCGTCTCACGTAGTCTTCACTGAGACCAGCCAATCAGGACTGTGCTACTGCCAATCCAAACAGGCCACAAATGACGGAGTGCGCATGGAAATGTTTGCCAACTAGGTAATTATCACACACATTCATCAAAATCTGTGTGGAAAAGTCCAGCGAGTGCACCTTAGATGCGTAAGCAAAGACACAAACGCACAAACAGTCGGGATAAAACGATTCCTCACAAGAACTGGAGCAAAAGACCACATTATGTTGTGCTCTGGTGACGTCAAAGTCTAAATCATTTTGTATTCTCTTTGCAAAAAGACCCAAATCCAATGAGTCTGACACTTTGATCCAAATTAAAAACGCAGAAAAACAATCGAGTGGAATGAAGACATTTTCAGAAAATGCACGATGACATTAAGTTGACATTTATGACTGAGTTATCTCATCCCACTTGAAGGTGCTTTTGACATATGAGAAGCAGACAGCTGTTACGGGTTTAATGAAGTGATTAGGCTGGAATGGCCACTATCAAACAGGAAAAGTTTTGCTCCCCAAAGCTTTTACAATAAAGGGGATTTAAATGATAACAGTATTAGGTAAGAACACCGGGTCCTTTCTCCAGGCTATCTCATCTGAGATTTTGATTTTTTGGAGAAAGAATTGACTTTCCTGACATTATTCAACTAAACCGTGTAACGTTCCTGGCACTGGAGCTGGCTCCACCCCGTCTGCACACCT